AAAAAAAAAAAAAAAAAAAAAAAAAAAAAAAAGGTAGGCATCCACTTAAAATAAAACATTTTAGAAATGTTCACAATGTAGTAAAAAAAAAATTTAAGTACAACATAATTTTGTTACTCAGGTGTAGAAAAGACTAGAAAGAAATAAAAATACGATTCAGATAATTTTTAATATTTAACATTATTTTAATATTGTGTATTTCCCAAATCCTTTAAAATGACCACGCACTACCTTGGTTAACAGAAAAAAACCCTTACAATCTCATTTTCAAATGATAGGGACCAAACAATGCTATTCCTCGGCTGGGTGCAAAGGAGAATGGGGCAGATGGCTGCTTTACCCTAACCCTGACACTGGACTCATTCTTCACCTACTTCTTCAGAATGACATACATCCCATGACTTATGCTGGGACATGTGGATGTGGTTTAATTGAGGTTGGTAGCCTGTTTGATTGAAAAAATAAAGAAGAGTTTTTAATAACCACTTTACTGTAACAGTAGCACGAATCTGCTGTATATCTCCCGAACTGCTTTCTATGCATCAGCATTTCAAACTGTTCCATAAGCATGTACAATTTTAAAAAACCAAACAGGGATCAAACCATGCAGGCCATACTACATATCAACATGCTGATATCCTTGACCTTCCAGTTCCTCATTCACTTAAATGGTTACACTGTATTCCATTAAGTTCTTTTACTCCTGTGAAACTACTAGAAAATCAAGGCAGTTAAAAAGTTACTGTGCATCCTCAAAAGGTTAAACATAGCTACCACAGGACCCAGCAATTCCACTCCTAGGTATCTGCCCCAAAGAAATTAACACATGTCCACAAAAAAAGCTTGTATTCAAATGTTTACAGCAGCATTATTCATAATATCAAAAAAGTGAAAACCCAAATGTCCACCTGCCATCTGTTCACAGATGAACAGATAAATAAAATGTGGTATATCCACAGAGTGAAATATCACTTGAAGGAATGAAGTACTGACTCATGTTACATAGCATGAACCTTCTGAAAACACTATGCTGCATGAAAGAAGCCCTAGAGGCAAAAGGTCACAACTGTATGATTCCCGAAATATCCAGAACAGGCAAATCTATACAGAGTGCATAGTGTTTTGTTTTGTTTTTTTTTTTTGGGGGGGGTGCTGGGAATAGGAAGTGACGGCTAATGGATAGACAGCTTCTTTTGAGGGGATGCAAATATCCTAAACCTGGTTGTGAGAATGGCTGCACATGTCTGTGAATATACTAAAAACTGTTAACTGTATAGTGTGTGAGTTATATCTCAAGGCTGTTATTTAAATAAAAAAATGCTTGATAGGATTTTACAATAATAGTGTTATGCTCAAATTATACATAATTGATATTCAACAAAAGTCTGGGGGATGAACACATTAATAAAGACTATACATATCAAAATAAAGTCATTGCATAAATATCTTTTTGTCTTCCCTTGTACATAGAAAGGGTTTAGGGACTACCTGTAGAGACGGACTGGCCGACCATGTACACATGAAATAATGCTAAACACAATGTGTTCACTGTTTAAAAAAAAAAAAAAGTGACCAAAACTTTACTGGAGGTCTTTATTGACAACATGAGATTCACATTAAGAAATGCTACTCATAGGTATTTATTACCCACTTCATCTTTCTCTTACAATACTTTCTGCAGGTCAGGGTTGAACCACAACTCAAATCCACTCACCACATTTTGAACATGAACAGTAGACAGTGCATGGAAGCAACTGCATGCCATCCTGCTCAGACTACTAATAAGTTCACTGCAGTCCTTAAGGACCTCAACATTATCTTAGTTAAAACTCAAATACCTTATGTCACTACTGACCAGTTATGTCCACTGCTAACTACATCTTTTTTTAAAGAAATTATTTGCATTTGCTATCATGGATACGCCAATTTCTTGATTCTCTCTCAAGTTCATTCACTCAAAGACTATTTAAGGTGCTCTTCTTGGTGCTTAGGATAGGACAGAGAATAAGACAAGGTCAAGCAAACAAAAACCTGCCCTCACGAAACTTACATTTTGGTTAAAAAAAAAAAAAAAGGTAAGGAAATTTTATTTTTACAAACTCATGCCTCATGTGTCAGCATCAGCAAGGAATTCCCACAGTTCTCACATTGTAAATGTCCAGTCGTTTCTAAACACTAAAATTCACAAAGATTTACAAAACTTCAGTAGCAGTTTCCAATGACGAGCTCTCCTTTCTTTATAGATTTGCCAGAAACAAAGACAAACATGGTCTACTTTACAGGTTGATTTACATCCACACAATTGTGACAGATGACAGTGGGCTGTCAGAAGCAGATTTAACCTGTGTCTTCAAATTACTGAAGTGCTAAATGGTTTATGCTTAAAACAAAATAAATAACTCCAGTGTCTCTTTCTAGAATCTGTAAATCTCAAGTCATTCAATAACCTGAATTGTGTAACACAAAAAAAATTGCATCCCCTACCTCCAAAAGCAAAAAGCGCAATTTAGTACAAAGATCACAACTGGCTCAAAAAGGCAACTTTTGGAAACAAAGTCTAAATTCCTTTAAACAATTCAATAATTTAGTGGGAATTTTACTAAGTGGCCAATGAATCTCTTGCAATTCTTAGCTAAGTTTTTTCCTCCTGACCTCCAAGCTAGGGAAGGTAGACGTGTTAGCACCCCAGAACAGCCAAATTGTTCTTAAAAGGCAGCCACTTTAACATTGTAACTTTCATCTGTAGGTGAAGTTCCTTATCTTCAGCAATTTGGCTACACTTCTGAATGCTAGCAAGATACATGGAAGTGGGCTCTTCCAGTTAAAACAACTAAAACCATCTTAAGACACTAATTTACTCCAGCTCGAGCCTTTAGATACTGTTTCCTACGTAAGTAAAAGTTATGGTGAATAACAGCGCAGCAACGCATTTTGTTTCAGATTAAGCTTCTCCTTCATGACTTGACCGATGGAAATTACCTGAGAGATTTATCTTCCCCTGGTTGAAGCTTGTTGGGATTAAGGAGTTGGTTATCTACAACGCCGTGGTGGAAAGATAATTCCCATCCAAATAAAACAGAGACGAATGTTTTATTAAATTATTGGCAAAATCATTAAACAGTTTGTGCCATCCAAAACCTTCTTGAAATTGAAAACACATTCATAAATCCTTCTGAGCATCGCTTTCTTTACAACTACCAAGGACTAACAATTTAGGGAACTTGACAGCTCCATTCATAAAAATCTTCCAAACATTATTACAGCATCAAAGAGCTGCTGGCTTAGAGGTGCACTGCGACTTTTTTTTTTTTTTTTTCTTTTTTTAAACCACGGACTGGTGGAAGAGTCCTCTCAAAGGTAAGCAGTCATTTCAATTCTCCGATAAGACACCTGCATCCAACACACACACACACACACACACACACACACACACCCCACACGAACCCAAGGACCGAGACCACAAAACCCCACCAGTCTGCAAGGAACGTGAACAAGTAAGCAAATAAAAATAACACTTCAAAAAACAAAGCGTGGTAAAAGGGAGGTCAGCCACTTAGCAGAAGCACATGACTCATCCACGGGCCTGAACAGAAGTATTTACACCGTCCACTACCCCAAAGTGGGATTTCCCATCCTCATCCAAGGCCGGGCCTCGGGGGCATCTCAGTCGGGTGAAGTTGTGCTATTTCCGTGGGGGGGGGGGACGGCTTTTATTTCGCTGAATCACAACTCCCCCACATTCCCACCTCAAACCATCACACACGCACACACAACCCCGCAAATAACAGAGGCCGTTGCAAGGACGTCGGCGAGCAAAGACCGAGCAAAACAAAGCGCCCAGCGAGGGGCTCCCAGGTTGGGAGTGGCTGGGTCAGAGGGGCGAGGCTCGCCCCCAAGACACTATTCCCGCCTCGCGGGGCATGGCTGTGGGCAAGTGCGCCGCGGTAGCCCCCTCCCTAGGGAGGAGACCTGCCCCATTCTCCGCAGAGCTCCGGGGACGGCCAGAGAAGGCGAGGATACAGGGGCGGGGGCGTGCTGCCCCAGCTGGGACAGAGTGACCCAGGTGCGGGAGGCAGAGCGCGCCGGGCCCAGCCCACGTGAGAGCCGCGGCCGGGTCCA